GCCCGCAGCGAGTGGCCCTGTTCCTGCAGGCCAGCCCGCAGAGGGACATCAGCCGCCGCACCGCCAGCTTCCAGTACGAGCTGCTGAGCAACCAGAGCGCGGCCGGCCCCGACTTCAAAAAGATGGCCCTGGTGGAAGGTAAGAGCAGGGGCAGCCCCGGGGCTCCGCTGCCAGGGCAGATCTAGGATAGCATTTGGTATTCACTGGTGCATCCCTTGGGACAGAAGCTGTTTTGGGTTGAGGGGTTTGTTGCTGCAAGGGGGGTCCTGGTGGTGCCATCCCTGAGAACATCCCCTGTGCTTATTTCTTTGCTGTGGTTGTATTTGCACAACAAGAGACTTGGTTTGCATCTGATCATAATTCTCTCTAACTTGGTAGTTCTGCCTCATTTCCTTTCCTAATTCACCAGTCCTATATTATCTAATGTACGTATTATTGTATAATAATGTATGTATATTATAGTGTTATAAATAACTAACTGGTCTGGGTTTTTTTCTAGCTATGTGCCGTCCTTGTGACAACGTGGAACTTCTTATGGCCATTTGCAGCAGTGATTTCGGTAAGCTGACTAAAGGAGAGTCATTCTGCCTTTCATTTATATTGATTATTTGGATTTGTTTGCTACTGTTCTTCAAATAATGTCATGATTGTGCTCCCTGATCTGGGAAAGAAAATAGCTGTGTGAAAAGGAATCTGAAGCGGGGGGGGGGCAGGAGTGAAACCTGGAAGGGAGAAACTGGCTTGTTTCCTGAACTGCAAGTAATTCTCACAGGTGTGAGCTGCTGGCTCTTAGGTGTAGACACTCATGCACACAGGTTGTACATGCTTGGTGTGGTCATTTTTATTCCCTTTGTCTATGTTTCTTTTTATCCCCACTATGAATATGCTCTCTCTCTTCCCTCACAATTCACACACTTCTAGTTCTTTTTCTGCAAAGGCAGTGAGTTGTTTGTAGCTCAGTTAAAGACTTCAGGTGGTTTAAACTTCCTTCAGTGATGTCCTGGTTAGGTTTCATGCCTTATGAGAAAACAGAGCAGTTATAGTCCATAAGAAAAGAAATAATAAGAAATACTAATTCGATGATACCTTAAAAGTTTTTTCCTTTTTCTCTACTTGATAGTGCAATAGGATTTTTGTTTTTCTTCTGAGTGGTTTGTCCATTTTATTCCCCTGTTTTTCCACACTCACATTTGTATCTCTTCGATTGGGTCAAACAGCTAAAGCTGTAGAGCTGCCTCTCCACGTGGCCACAATTCCATTGCTGTAAATGCACCTACGTGAAAATAAAACTACAAATTCTGTTCAATGTTTACAAACCCCCACCAAATCACTGCTTCCCTACCCCGGGGTTGCCACACTACGAAGCTGATAAAACCAGACACCAACATCACTGTGCAAATACAAACCCAGTGCAGAGCAGGCTTCCCTTGGGGTGCTCCTTAGCTGGTAATTTTTATTCTTCCTCTAAATTAATCGGTGCAATCCAGCCCGTTGTTTTTCCTTGATGAGGTCCCTGGTTCCCATGCGGGTGCTCTCCCTCGGAACAAGCGGAGACTGACAGATGTGGAGGCCCAGGCACACAATGGGGGCACTTCCACTCACAGCAGCAGCAGACCAGAAGAAATGGCCCTTTGAACTGACTCTATTTATGGCCTGACTTCCTTGCCCCCAGCCCACAAATCGCTATCATCGACTTTTTTGATTAGAGAAAATAGCTGCTAATGAAAGTGTAAATGACACTGGGAGTGAATGGGGGCTTTATAGTCCCCCTTGGGATGGGGGTCTTCAGTGACTGGGCCCTGAGCAGTGCAGGAGCAACTTGGAGCACCAGGAACAAGTGCATTATAGCTTGTCAATAGACTTGACTGCATCTGATTAAAAATGATCACACAAAGAGGGGGAGAGAGCAGAGACATCTGTTACACAAAATTCTGCATTCCCTTGGAAAATCTAATTAAATGAGGAAGTTCTTGGAGGCTTCAGAAATAAGTTTATTCTGCATCTTGGGTTGTTGAGTTTTCTGTACCCAAACGAGTGAGTTCTGTGGCAGGAGGGTGGTGCTGTACCCATTGCTTTGCAAACCTCTCATTTGCTGAAGAGCTCGTGGCTCAAATGGTGGCCTGTTTCTGAGCCTTCTATGGATGTGGCATTGAAACTAACTTAATTAGTAGAAGCATAATTGATTGCTGTGAAAAATGGGGGCAGTGACATTGAGAAAGATGGATTCAGGACAGCAAACACCTGTCAGATGGAATGTTTTATTCTCCATGTGGTTGATGCAAAGGATGCTTTCAGTCAGAGACTGTGGCTTCTTGTGCTTCCCTTCCAGCTAGGATCCTTCTGGGAGAAGAAGGTACATGTATGCTATGTGATTTTTGAAATAAGGCTTCAAATAAATTCGCTTTAGGAGTTCTGAATGTTGTTCATCATCTCCCAAAGTGTCTTTTGGAGGATGGATGACATTTTCTTTTGAGTGGAAAAAAACACCAAACCTTTAAATGAAAAAAAAAAATTTAAAAGCTCTCATTTCCTTCAACCAAGTCATATTCTGATTTTTCTTGGATTAACCTCTGTTAGTGGTGTGAAAGGAAAAGCTCCAGAGTCCCTTGGAGTCAGTAAGGAAGGCAGCCTGTGATAGTCATTGTCTTGGAAACAGACTGGAAAAGATGAATCCCTGAACTGACCTCTTTTCATGTGCTTTTTAATCCTTCACTACTTTTCATTATCAAGCAAGATAGATGCTTTGTCCTCAATGTAGGTGGTTTGAGTAGTCATAAAGCACAATTCCAAGGACATAGCACTGTCTGTGTAGGGATCCCCTGGGCAAAGGATGCAGTACAAGCTCAGAAATGTGTCCACGTGTAGGTGGGAGGTGTAAAAACTGCACCACTCCTGCTCTCCAGTTATTTCATTCAGTGAGCTCCTGGTACCTGAGCTGCTTGCCTGCTGCTCCATAACCAACTCCTGTCTTCCTCACATCCAGTGGTGAAGGGGTCCATCCGAAACGTCTCCCACGACTCGGAGAACCACATGTCCCAGGTGGATGTCAGTGTCCAGAGAGTCTACAGGCAGAAGAACAGGATTTTCCAGCAGGATGAAGGGAGTGGGGAGTGGAGAGGCCCAATCCGAACCCTGCTGCAGTGCAAGGTGAAGAAGGGAGGTGGAGATTTCCTCTTCACTGGGAATGAACACTTTGGGGAAGCCTGGCTGGGCTGTGCCCCTCGCTTTAAGGATTTCATGTTTGTTTATCGAGCTGCCAGAGAAAGAGGAGCCAACCCCTGCGAGTTTGAGCTCAACTGACAAACAGAGACACTTGTTGAGAGCTCAGTTTTCAGATACTGAACCTGCAGCAGAGTTAAAACCCAGGACTGAAGCTGACAATTCCACCCAAACTGGGAGCTGGAGAATTCCCTGAGGATAATGGTTCTGTGAGCCCTGTGAACTCTTTTAATGCTCATTAGTTTCTCCTTCTTCAAACTGTCATTGTCTCACAAAATAACTGTGAATTTTGAAAAGATTATCTTTTTTGGGGGATTAGAAAGCAGCTTGTGCCCAGGATTACAAAATTCTAAAATGTTTTGCTCTGTCTACATGCAGTGTGCTTTTTCTCCAGATATTTTTCTCCTCCCCAATCTCTACTTGATTTCTTTTCCTTTACAGGCGAATGTGGAAACTCTCTCTAAGCTGGGGGAGTAGGAAACTACCCTTGAGGAAAAAAAAAACAAAAAAAAAAGAAATCCCCAAGAACTACTTCCTTTTTAAAATGGAACATAGGTGCTGTAAAAAGTATGTTTTCTTTTCTTACACTGAAAGACACTAAGGAGCTTAATATAAGCACAGACAAAATACAACTAACTTGACTTCTGAAAGTTCTGTTGAACTGATTTAGAATCAAGAATTGCTCATGATGGTGTTTTCACCTAAATTATCTGCCTCTTTTCAATTAGCTTTCATTATTTGAACCGTGGCTCCTCCCACCCTCCCTCAGTGCTTTGGCCAGGCTCCCATAATTGCCTGTATTTTATGTAAATGGAATTGCTACACCGTAAAATGATATACAAATGTGTCTACCACATAGAGCCCAATAAATGGTGTGAATAAACCCATTATTTCCCGTGTAACAGCATCTGATTGCAGCCTGGGAAACACGGGGCTGACAGATGTGAGCCCGTGACAAGGCCTGCAAAAATCTGAATGAGGAGCCCTCTGACAGGCCACAATTAATTGACTTTTGAAATGACTCCTTTTTTTTTTTTTTTCCACAGTTCTACTTGGCTGAGCAAGGTTCACAAATTGCTGTCTTGAACTTTTTAATGGGACAAAATAGCTGCCAATGAAAGTCTAAATGACATGAACTTTGAATGGGAGTCGTACAATGGCCACGCCGTGACATGTTTTCAACTGACATATTGATTATTTGAGAAGTAGCAGCCACTTAATTGGGAGGGAATGGGGAAGGGGGGAACAAATGGGAGGGAGTCAGAGGACTGGGTGTAGAAATACAGGGTGTTAAACAGTAGCCAAATATAGTTTTATTAAAATAGGGAGCATCCTGATAAACACTTCCACGTGTTTTCCCAGAGAGTACAATTTGGAGTCCAAGTCAGTTTTTCTTTTTGCTGTGAAAAAGTGTTCACAAAGCTAAATCCAGAGGAAATGTCATTAACAAGGAAGAAAATAGATCTTGTATGAGCAATGAGCCTGCTGACTTCCTGAGGGTCTCAGTACTTGCTCAAGACCCAGGCTGTAGTCACAGTCAAGTTTATATGGGCTTAAAATATCTATTTGTCTGGCTTTGGAAACTGAGACCAAGCTCTGACAGACCTGATTGACCTCCTAATCCCAGGGCCATCATGGTTAGTGAAGATGAGGATTTTTCCTCCCCTAGTTTTTGCTGGTTTGTTGTTTTGTGTTCTGCTGATCAAGAAATGCTGTTTGAATCTCTGGGAACTCTTTGGAGAGTTTCTTCTCCAAAACCTCCATCAGCCCAACTGACTTGGAGAACTTTAAGTGGAAAAGGAAATGCTGAACTTGTTTCGTGGATGTCTTTGTTTGGGCCGATTTTTAAACATGTTGAGCCACCACAACAGCTCCCTCCTGAGCTGTTTTCCACTGGCCACGTGGGGAGGCAGCAGCCTGCAAACCACCCTCCCTTTAGTTTGATTTCACTGGATAATGTTGGGAATCATCACCCATTGCTGCTTCTGGGTGTACCTTAAGCAGGCAGATGCTGGACATCACCTGAGGGTTTTTTAAGCAATCCCACACTGAGTCCTTAGTTGTTCCTCCTCCTCCAGCTGATGGCCACGTTTTTGTTTACTTGAAAAGGTTCCAGTTTTGTTTACTGGTCAGGATGTTCCCCTTGTCATCAGCTGGTAATGGGTGTGTAGCTCAGGGGAAGGAGATCTAGGACAGCATTAGACAGCCCAGAGGACACCACAGCCTCTGCAACTCTCCTTTCCTCTCTTACCCACTTCTTGTATAACTCAGGGAATTATGCAGTAAAGGACCTGTTATTTGTACTCTGCTGTGTCTTCCCTTCTGCCTCCCTCACTGCTTTGCTTCAACTCTGAGCACAGAACAAAACATTGAGAGTTGGGGTTTACTGTCAGTATTTATTGAATTCAAACTATCACAATTCACCAGTCAGCTCCTGCAGCAGTTACAGGCCAGGGATCAGGTGGCATAAAATCCATGTTGGTGGCCCTGGTGGGGACACCTGGGTGACACAACTACATGGAATAACACACCATACACATACTGAAGTACTTGGCTGATACATCACTGCAACCAACACATAAGTACATAAGCGTTTCTTTTTCTAAATACAATGTTTTTCTGATGTGTTTCATTGAAGAAAAGATTAAATTTAAACAGATTAGTTTATTTTTCAGTGAGCAACTGTTTCTTGATTTACTCTCACTTGTACATTAAAATGCCAATCAATCCACATCCTCATGGTGTTATTGACACCAGAATTAGTTCTATATCTAGACTGGGTAAGTTGGGTTCTTCGTAGTATTAACAAGAGAAGTACAATTAAAATATATGCTTCTACAGATGTTTTGTTTAAAACCAGTATAGCTTTGATAGTTACTGCCTAAGTACAACCACTTCAGTTGTGTTGAAAAGGTTTTTGAATCATCACTTATTATGCTGTAACTAATATTTTTCTTAATATTATATCACCCTAATGTTTCAATATATCCAAGATATCTGAAGCTAACCAAAACAAGAGTTTTCAGAAATCCAGCGATTCCATTACATATTTCTGATTTCATTCCAAACTAACAGAATTTCCTTCTATGATTTCTAGTCATTCATAGCACTAAAGAAAGCAAAAAATAGGACCAGGAGTACAGTGGCAGGCTTGTTTCACTGCCTCGTAATCCAGGACACCTTCTGTCTTCCATACTGTTGGTCGTTCACCAATGTGACATTTCAAGAATTCCCACCTTGTCCAGAATAAAAGCTGCTCTTGACTTTGGGTGTCACTCCAGACTGTGGCTACAGAAGCCCAAAGACTTGGAGGTCAGTACTGACACCCCTTTTAAGTCAAGAGGCAACAGAGAACGGGGACCTTCTCCACTGCACAAACCTTTGTCCCAAGGGGACAGAGTATCTTTCAGCACCTGCAAGTGGATCTGCAGCCCCGTGGCACTGCCAAGCAGATAAAGGATTTCTCAGAGGAAACTGCTCTTGTCCCTCAATGCTGACAAACTGGAAGGGCAGAAAACCCAGTCTGTCATTCATTGTTGGCTCCCAGCAGGACATATCCTCCCTCCACACCTTTTAAAGACTTCTGCTTAGGTTGGTAGTTTCAGTGCTGACTGTGCTTTGGAGAGTGGAGACCCTTGAAATAGTACAACTGCTCCAGAGACAGCTGTGGCACTTTTAGATCCACCAGCAATTCCATATCCTATCTTGGCCAAAGAAATGGAAGAAATCAAACTTATGCTATCCTTGACAAAGTACCAAGAGTTTACAAGCCAAGTGAAAACAGAGACACCAAGCCCTGAAAGTCTCTCTCCAAAGCACTTTGGCTAATGTGGAATGTATCATAGAGGGTCTTTTAAGCCTTCTAACAATTCCCTGCCAAACTGCCAGCAGTGGCTTTGTGTTCCATTTCACCAAGTCCCACAAGGGGAGTTTTACAAATCAAAGTCCAGGAAGTCTCTCATGTGAGCTTCCCTGTTCTTCATGGGCTACAAGAAATAGGAGCTACCACAGTAAGCCCAGAGGCATCAACAAGATACAGACCCAATAACTATGAGATCCAAGTACCTTGATTGCCTACAGACTGTAAATAGGAAGTACAGATTCCTCTGTACACAGAACTTCTGAAGACATATCACAACCCAAAGCAAAGAACACCAGGAAAATTAAAAATCCATCCCAGTAGGAATGGATGTATATTCTCCTTTGTGCTAATTCCCTGCATGTTTCAAAGGACTCACCTGTCTGCCCACAGGCTTCATGCAGAGAAGAAACAGCATTTTCTAGGTCCTGTGTACATGTCTTGAGACTCCTCAAATCAGAGTCCCAAAACCATACAAGAAATCCAGCTTCTACCACCTGAACAACTAAAGATACACCAGCAGAGAATATCCCACCTCACAAAGAAGAAAAGCTTTATGACAGAAGACCCTGCTTTAAGCAAACAGCAGATTTATGCTCCATATGCAAGCCAAAAATGCACCCCCTGAGCTCCTCAGCACACAAAAAAAAACCCCCAACACTAAAGAGCCTTCAGTGTGAAGATGTGAAGCATGTTCTGGGTCAGCAGATGAGACAGAATACTTCATCCTCCAAACTGTGTTATCACAGGACACACATCACTGCTCTGCAGGATGTCTTCCTGAAGACTCTCTGGTGTATTCCCAGAGTCAATGTCATTTATTCCTTGGTGATTTTAACACCATTTCTTTCCCATCAACTCTAAAAGTCTCTGCATTTCCATTCTGATGAGATCTGTCATATTGGCTTTTACAACTCTGTGCCAAAAGACCTGGACTTACTGATTTCAGTAGCTCTTTCTGTAGCATCTCATGGAGTCATACACTGAGAACCTGTGTATGAAGAACAGTCTGTGTATAGACAGAAAGGCAACACTGAGAGCTCCCTCAAAGCCTGGAACCTGAATTTGCCAAGGAATTCTTCCTGTTTCTTTCTCAAAGGGGTTATGGTTACCTGTGGAACACATTAATTCTGGGGCTCCTTTACAGTCAACCACAGAAGCCACAGCAGCTACTGAAGAGATTTAACAATGGTTCATACCATGACTTTGATTTTAGGGCAATCAAAGTCTTTGCAAAACCTTTCATTGTAGTTTTTACTATCATCAGCATTTTGCTAAATCACTCTCTAAGGGCTTCAGACCAAAGAATCGGCAGATTTCCCAAACTGCTTAAAAGAGCTAATAATTTTTACCTCAAACAATCAATCTTTGAGACTTTGGGTTTGATTACGTGCATATAAGTACTTAGGTGAACTAAACTAAGATAGGAGACCCTGCTGTTTCATTTAAGTGAGAGAGAGCACAGTGCCACTGGAGAACAGCCAGAAGGCAGGGTACAAGGCCTCGGTGAACTGGGCTTTGAATTTGTAGATCAAGTTGTGCTTCTCCCCCACTGCCATGAAGATCACAAAGCCCCCCTTGCAGTGGAGCAGCACCCCAATCCTGGTGGCCTTTGTGCTGGGTAAGCACTTTTCAACGTCGTCGTGCCAGGACGAGATTTTGTTGTTGAGCCACTCGACGCACCAGGAGCTGCTGTTCCTGCCCAGGCGGCTCTCGGGGCCGTGCCGGGCCATGCTGCCGTAGCACACCCCGATGCCACAGAAGCTGTTCTGCTGCAGCTCCACCTCCCAGTAGTGGATGCCCCTCTTGAAGCACTGGAACCCCAGGACCTGGCGGAAGTCGGTGAAGCGCTGAGGGTGGGGGTGGTAACCCCTGAAGTTGTCTGAGACGGACATCCTGGTGTAGTTGTCAGACAGCATCACGTTGTTATGAGCTGTGTTGTAATCCAGGGTGATTTGAGCAGTATCTGCAACGACATGAATCATGTGGAGGTACTGAAGAGCAAAGCACTTTTATTTATTTATCCTGTCCTGCCCAAGCACTTGTTCCCATGCTTGTTCATCTCCCAGCTCTGCTCTCCTCCTCAGTGCAGGCAGTTCTGAGGGCCTCAGTAAAACCTCCTGGGTTTAACTGCAGCTCCATGTTACACAGCAGGCAAATGGAGGGCGAGTTTCCTTCCTTCCTACATCCCATGGCATCCTTTCACCACCCAAATAAATGCTGGAAAAAGAAGGGGATCTTTGATCTGGCAGCAAAAGGTATACCCATGTTGTACAGCATCTTAAGAAGGCATCCTGAGCTCACATAAAAGCCTCCATTTCATTAAAAAAAAAAATCAGTGCATTACACCATATTTCTAGGCTACCCTGATGCCATCATTTTGGAGGAAACCAAAGCCATTACTTAGAAAACTTCATTTATCTTCATAAAGACACACAAATACTGGAGACAAATTGGATTCATCTGGCAAAAGAACTATTTAGAAAACTCCTGCCCCTTTTTCCTCCAAAAATTTCCTTCATTTGTAACAACTAGCTGATGGCCTATTGAGCTAACAAAACCTCCTCAGAAGTATTTCTGTTAGGTAGCTACAGAGGACACATAACACCAGCGCAATAAAAGCAGAAAGTTCATCTTTAAGTAGTATAATATTGAGTGTCTTACACTGCAGAAGCTCCTCTCTGGATTTCTTCAGAAAGCTGACAATAAGCTCTTTAGTTGCAGCAGCAGCAGCAGCAGCAGTTGCAGTTTTTGGTGCTGTGGTTGGTGCTGTGTGGACAGAAGAAAAGAGAGTTTGGCCAGTTGGGAAAGAAACCCTGCATGTTTAACACACCACCACAGACACACTCAGGTTGGAGCATGTCTGGTTTAGCCTCCTGCTCCACACCAGGTTAACTTCAATATTAGCTCAGGTTATTCCCCATCCTGTCAGGTTTTGAAAATCCCACTGTCTCTGTACAACCTCTATCAGTGTTTGATCACTCTGGTGATCATTACACCAACACTATTGACCAACACTCAATTTACCAACACTAATGACTATCTGCTTATCATTTTAAGAGCTGTCAGTGCAAATTAGAATAAGCATGCTGAAAGTTTGGACTTACCAACTTTAGCAGGTTTGTTTTTCTCCTCTGGAGGGGGAAAAAGAAAAAGTAGACTGTGAGTTCTACTGGGAATGAAAACCCCCTGATAAGGTTGTGTCAGCTGTAACACCATTGTCACAGCTCCTCTGGAGCTGCAGCAGTGGATGGAGCTGACAGTCCAGCATGTTGAAGCCAGGTACAAATACACCCACACTGAAAAGCTGCACAGGAAACACAACCTGCTATTTGCCTCTTATTTCCAGAGTCATAGGAAATATGACCCTGGAATATTTCTCTCCTCCAGGATGCTGCATGTTCAGGCAAGTGGCAACACACCTGTTCCCATGAGGCACAGACTATTCCTTTTCTTTTTACAACAGAACTTCAGTGCAGCAACAGGAGCTACAAATCTGTGAAACTCCATCTTCCCCAACAGACCCCACTGAGTGCTCCACACCCAGGACTTGTGAATGGAAAGGACCCTTTGTCAAGAGCTCTGTGGGAGTAAAAGAAGTGGTTTCTTAACACTTGGATTTATTTCCAAAGGAAAATATGAAAGATCTTCCAAACAGACTACAGTACCCATTAATGCTGGTATCTGGAATAAAACAGCACTGAAAGGCCCCAGTGTAACCTGCCACAAAGACTTCTCTCCATCACCCCAGCCCTACACTGTAGGCAAGATGTGGCCAGCAAAATGTTTGAGTAAGGCTCCTTTAATCACCACTTACTGGTATTTGCCTTCTCCTGCGGAGTGGCTGGGGTGTGGGAAAGGGTTCTCTCTTTGTGGGAACGATCCTGTGAGGGAGCACCTAAAACAACAGAACATGAACAGCCCATAAGCAGAATTCAGTATGTACAAATCCATCAAACAAGCCAAGAGGTGTCTGGTACAAATTAAAAAACCCTGAAAGAACCAGAGGGTGGGGAAGCTCTGCTTTGCTTTACAGCCCACACTGACACCACTACAGGCTGATGCACCACTGTACCTGTGCAGTTCACTGCTTTCCAGCTCACAAAGCATCCATCACTAAACATCCCAAAGCACCCTCCCTTTCCTGTGCCAAGGTGCTCATAATCTCTGCATCACCACTACAGCAAACAGCTCTGGGGTAACTGCTTGAACTCTTATTTATTTGTAAAACCTTAGTTAGGAGAGGATGATTTCTTTAGTACTTACGTAGTTGATGAGGCCTTCTTCCAACAGGGGTTTTGTCTCTAGGAGCCACTGGAGGGCCCATAGTTTTCCCAGGTGTGGCTGCAATGGCAATATTTTACATTATGGTTGGTATTGCCAGTACACAGAAATGCACAGTAACTACAAAGAAAGGCATTAGTGAGGACATTTTTCAGTCTTATTTATCCGTTGTGTGAATAGAACTGAAGGGACACTCAGCAGAGATGGAAAGTGCATCCCCATGCCCCAGTCCAAAAGACAGTTTTGCTTAACCCAGTAAGTAGGACTTACACAGTCAGCACCTTGACAGCCCTGTCACCCTAAAGAGTTTCACATCTCCCCTCAAATCTATGTCCTAACCACATCCAAGCCTGCTACATAATGACACCATAAATTACTCTAGGGAAGAAAGGCTGAGCTGTGCCAGAAGGGTGTAGGATCATGATGCTCATCAACTTATCCAATTACAGATAACAGTGAAGAGACACTGGCATGTTTTGTCTCCCAATTTAGCCCATACTGTGATGGTTTTGTGTGGAAATGGAGGGAGGACTGCAGAGGTTGGAAGACATAACTTACATTAACCAACTGTACTTGTTGCACTTTTTATTTAAATTATATTTGGAGAGGGAAGATTCCTCATTTGAGCTCACAGCCAAAGCAGAAAATGCCAGTTTTCTCAGTGATACAGTACCTTCTGCTTTTCTCTCCTTATACTGAACCGCTGCTGCAAGTTTCAGTGTTTCTCTGAGGTTAACGGCAAACATATAAGTGGAATTCATCACATTTTGGTCCATTTCAACCACAGGAACGAAAGCCTCTTTTGGTGATGTTCGTTGCAGTGCTACTGCTCTCTGAAATGACAGATGGAAGATTGGGGCAGAACGCCTTGCGTAGCACATACGTTAAAATATAACCAGGTTATTTTAAATGGCACAAAGGCTACAGCTGGACACAACCCAGGGCAAAATTTCAGCAGCAGCCCACATGCCTTAGTTCCCAACTGATATCTGAAACAATGAGAAGGATCTGGACAGAACTGCAGCACCTCCTGGAGATGAGTTCTTGCCCGCTGGCCCCTCTGTTTGTGGCAGAGGTAGTGGCTGAGCTGGGGGAGTTGCAGACACCATTCCAGTGTTCTTTCACTGATATTTGTGTACTCATTGGCACATCCTTTCATAGCAGGTTCTTGCACACAACTGCAATACCGTTTGACTGAAAGTGTCTGGAGAGCGGGATGACCACAGCAGGTTTTTGTGATTCTGCATTCTAGAAACATGAAGAATTGGATTCACATTTAAAGGACATTAATACCTTCATAAACAGAACGTCATCGCTTTCAGTCAGTGCCGTCTCAATCTCATCTCTGAGAGACTGAATTTCATTCTTCTTCTTTCCCAGAACACTGTAAATATAATCAAACTTGTTCCAGACTCTCTTTTCTTCATCTGCAATTGCTTTCATGATCTCATTTTCTCTTTCTTCAATTATAGCTTTAATTTCAGAAAACTCACTTCTGATCAAATCCTTCTTTCTGGAAGCTGTCTCCTGGAGCAGACAAGACCAGACAGACACTGGTTTCAAAAGAACAGTTTGTGAACAAAGTACTCTTGCTGCTACTGCACAAAAACCTTTCAGGAACATTTAGGCTTCTCTTACTTGAAACAGGAAATAGAAGAGCTGAGTATTTCGATGTAGTTCATAAAGAAAACTGCTTCACTCGCAAGGAATGGGGGCATTAAACACATAGTGCCTGGTTTGCTCCCATATCCCACAGAGCTGCCTGGCCCTGCCAAAATGCCTCTTTTCTGTTCCTTCCTAATAACATCTTCTCCTGCCAGTTCAACCTCAGTACTACAGCCGTTGTCACGAAGGCACAATCACCAACACCACACAGTGGCCAGCGTGTGCCAAGCAACCCGACAGCACTTTGAACAGTTACCCACTTACAGCAGATTGGCTTTGGTTGGTTTTCACAGTGCTCATTGCCTGAGCAGCTCTTTCACTCTGATTATTCAGCATCATGAGTTTCTTCTTCAGCATCACCTGCAATAGGAGAGATCAGAAATTATGCCAGAGAAGCAGTTGCATCGGGTCACACTCACTGAATAAGAATCATGTTCACAGAAAGTTTTAAATAATCTTGTAAGCATTTAGTACCAGCAGTTTAAAACCTATTTCTCCTGAAACCTTCCAGGATGTAGAAGTACTGTCCTGCATACATGTGCCTTGTGGCACCCACACCCTCCCTGAAGCTCCACCTGTCCCAGAAGCAAGATGCACACTGTTGACTCACTCTCTTGATAAGGACTGAGTGCTTTCAGCAGTTCACATGCTAAGAATAAATGTTAGCTCTCAGGCTGGGCTTTGGGCACAAAGTTAATGCTACTGTTCACCCCTCTCACTTTGAGAATTTTATCACTCAGATGTGAGTTACCTGTTCCTTTAGCTCAAGATGCTGCTAAGCTCAGTCAGGGATGAGTTCTGCAGGAAAGCTGTACACACACTCACCAAACAGATGGGAGTTTCTGAACTGAAAAGCTGAAAGCCTGAACTTTTCATGCATGAAACTTTTCAGTTTCATGCCTGAACTTTTCAGGCATGCTTTACTCAACTACCCTTCAAGTTTCAGCTGCACTGTAAGATATGAAGGCCAGGCTTCCACTCTGTGAATCTCCTTCTGGCTGGAGAAGAGCACTTCCTATGTGCTGGAGATCTCCCTAGGCTACTTTTATAATTCTTTGAGTCTTTAAAACATACACAGGGCAGTGTCTGTCCACAGCCCCTCGGGTCAGCCTGTGAGAACACCATGCAGTGAGCCCTGGCAGCAGAGGAGGCTTGGAGTTCTGGATGACACCGGGATTGTGGGAGACCTCACTGGTCAGCCCAGCCCAGCCCAGGAGCTGGCAATCAGCCCCATGACAGCACCTTCCCAGAACCCTGGCCCTTGAGTAACATCTTGGAGAAAGGAGGAAAATGCAAGGAATGACTCTCTGCTTGGAGAGAGGAGGAAAACACAAGGAATCAATCTGAAGATGTGCCTGGGAGGGAGATAACAGTCTGCCAAGGCCAGATGCAAGATTTACAGTCCAAGTCTTGGCCCAGCCTCCCCCTCGCCCTCCCTGAAGGAGAGAAGAGAGGCTCCAGGGTGTCCCTGGGAGGATGTTCCAGCCCCGGAGGGCACCAGACCCCGCAGCTGCTCACCTGGGCATTGGCTTTAGCCTCCTCCAAGGGGCTGGTGTGGCACACCTTGTGCCCGAGCAGGCAGAGGGAGCAGATGCAGCTGCCGTGATTGCTGCAGAAGAACTCGAAGAGCCGGTTGTGCGAGGGGCACTTGCGGTACTGGAGGTCTCTCAGGGGCGGGCAGAGCTGGTGGTCGCGGAAGGCGGGGCTGTCGCGGTGCGGCCGCAGGTGCTCGGCGCAGAAGGAGGCGGTGCAGGTCAGGCAGGTCTGCACGGCCGGCGCCTCCCGGCAGCTGTCGCAGTACACGGGGGGCTCCTCCGCCTCGCACTTCGCCGCCCCTCCGTCCTCCTCCTCCTGCTCCTGCTCCTCACCCCCGGCCCCAGCGCGGCCCTGGAGCTGCTCCACCACCCGGCACAGCACCGTGTTCTTCTTGCCAGCTTCGGGCGGACCGCGAAGGTGGCGCGGCACGGGGGGCAGCTGAACCCCTCGGGACAAAAAGCCCGCCCAAGCTGCAGACTCCAGGCAGGCGGGGCACAGAAGTTGTGGCCGCAGGGCACTGCGTCACGGGGCTGCTAAGAGGCAAGAGGCAGAATGCAGCAGGTAGTTCCTCCTCCAGCCCCGCCAGGCTCAGCTCCGGCTCCAGCGTCGCCATCGCCGCGTCCGCCGCTGCTCCGACCAGCCAGAAATGAAACTGGGGATGGAGGAACGAAACCGGGTCTGGAAAATCGAAACTGGGGCCGGGGCTTTCCGGAAAATTGCGTGTCCCGTCCCCGCCCCGATGGGAGGGACGGCAGCCCTGTGGCAGCCCCGGCCAGCACACGCCCGTCTCCCGCAACCCGGGCAGCCCGGGTACATGCGGGGACTCTGCCCCGGGATGGGCACGGAGAGTACCGGGGACCGCGCCCCAGCCCGCGACCCCCGGGCTGAATCTCACACCCCTCCACGCACCGGGGCCGCGGGTGACCGGTCGAGGGGCTCCGGGCGGGGGTCGGGCAGGCGTCCCTCACCGCCGCCCAGAAGACCTCGAGTTTGCGTTTTCTAAAACCGCAGCGGGTGATGTCGGGTAGCCGGTGCCCACCCGGGCTGCCGGCCCTGCAGCCCCCCCATAGCCCCCCGCAACCCCTCATAGTCCCCCGCAGCCCCCATTAGCTCCCCACAAGCCCCCCATTCAGCCCCCCCGCAGCCCCCATAGCCCCCCACAGCCCCCCCATAGCCCCCCACAGCCCCCCATAGCCCCCCACAGCCCCCCATAGCTCCCCGCAGCTCCGAGTCACAGCCCGCGAGCTCCTGCTTGGGGCTCGGGGAAGGGATGACCCCCAAATCCCGGCTGCTCTGAGCTATGGGTAACCTGGCTGTTGAAGATCAAATAGATTCGTGGAGTGGTTTCGGTTGGAAAGGACCTTAAACATCGCCTGGTTCCAACAGCTGATGTCAATCCAGCATTTTTAAAGCACGGGTTACCGCGCTGTGAATGTGGAACCCATCACGACAGAAGGTATTTCCTCGAATTTTTATTTTCCTCGGTCTAACTGTTGAATAATCGCTGTTTCTAACAGGAACATTGATGCTGAATAGCAACAGGTGCAACTACTCCCTTTTTAACTAACCTGATTCCAAATTCTTACTCCTCCTTCTTCTGCCCTGTCTGTTGGTGACCCAGGGTCTTGCTCAGGGCTCTCTGTACTTCTCCACCCACACTGGCAGCATGGAAGAAACAGAGCAGCCTGGCACAAATTCTGTGGGCCTCCAGTAATTTAAACAGAGCCTGGTGGTCTGCAGCACAAGGAGCTGTCTGCTCTCTCCTCTTGTCCAGTGGGCAAAGGACACCTTGTATGGAGAACTGCTGAGGTTCCTTTTAATGTCATTAGAAAGTATTAGCACGCAATCGTGTAGTCATTAGTCCTTAGGGGCTTCTAAAAATGTTCAGGAATTGTATAAAGCACTCAAAAGAGGCAGTGGTGGGTCATCTGTTACAGTTGAAATGAACTCCTAGTCATTTCTTTTGTAAGACTGAATTAAATCTGGATGGTCGTTGCAAACCTACGTTGTAGAGATTAACGTGGACCCCTACCCACACCAGTTATCACTCCAGTCTTGCAGTACTCCTTCGGGATAAGCTGCCCAGGGCTCTGAGTCACTGCTTTGTGACAGACACAGGTGCAGAAAGGACAAGAGGAGGCATTTGGAGCTGCAAGGCTGTGACAGGAGCAAACCTTCAGGGACAGAGTCTCTCATACGCCGGAGGGTGGAGGAGTTTCAGTTTCGAGGAGAAGGGCACGGTGCCATGCACTTACAGCACGGTTGGCATGGGCTGATCAGGACTTTGTAACTGCTGTCAGAGGAAATGCAAACCCCCGGGGGAGCCTGAGAGGTGGTGGCTGACAGGGACTGCAAAGGAACATTCTTAGAGAGCTGTGTTGTGCATGTGTTACCGGTGACTGGACCAAGGAGCAGCTCTTAATGTTTACATTTTTTATTTTTCTATAGTGAATGAACTCCTTGGGCTTATCTGGACCAAGCCATCGTCATCTTTCAAAGGCTCAGTACCTTGTGCAGCACTCCTCTGGTATCTACTGATACAAAGGTATGTAAATAAAAAGGGTAAATATACACCCTGGCAACTGTAGCTTTTGCTTCTGGAGCAGAGCACAGGATGTTTAGAGCTCAGATGAGCAATTTAAGTTCCCCATTGTCAAAGAGGGCTTGAAATTCTGGTTTTGAGGAAGCCAAATCACTCTTTTTGTCTAAAAGACAATAACGTTGTAACATTAAAAATTAATTACCATTTACATAGCTAATGAAGTTACTGCTCTCTTTGCTTCCTTGAAATTACTTGAGAACTTCCTGTGGTCCTGAACTACATGGCCAAAATACAGTGTGGGCAGTGGAACAAGAGGTGAGTCCTGCTCTAACAGTGCTGTGAAATACTTGCACTTAGCTTTTACAATTTCTTAAGAATTAAAAATTAACAATTTCCCTTAGAAAAACAATCTTTCCATTAATCCCCACTGTCTCAACATCACTGTGCTAGTGTCTGGCATCTTCTTCTTGTCCAGTTTGCAAGAACAGCCACACATGAATCTAACTGTCCATTTCTCAAAAAAACCCCAAATTCTAGCATGAAATTAATGGCAACTAAAGAGAACCACAATACACAAATCAGCTTTACTTGTATAAAAATGATTCCTTCACAAACAAGACATTTTAATAGGGCTAATGGAAAGATGTGCAGTATTTTAATGTAATCATGCACTGGTCAGAGCACAAATTAGCAAACCACCATGTACAGTTTTTCAGGTGTTTGTATCTATAGAGTTTTTGGGTTTTTTCCATGTCTTCTCTGTAAGAGTCAACTACCCAGGACAGGGATTATCTGGAAGTGTAAGACTTGCCAGGTGTACAGAGGTACAAGGTGTCCCCTCAATGTTAATAATTATCAGAGCTGTCAGGGCAGCACATTGGCAGCACCCAGTGACCCACTGTGCTGCTGGGAAGGAAAGAAGAAAGGCAGCACAGCTCTTACAGAGCAAAAGGGTTTGATGTAAAACAAACAAAAGGGTTTTCAGGGCCTACACAGATTAACAGAATGGGGCACAATTTTGCTGGGGATTTGTGTTATTTTCCACTGGTTCTAAGCAAGGTTGAGTTACCATTACTATTTATATGCCTCAAAATTACAGAAGCTTGAAATCCACATGGATTTCTGGACATGTTCAGATGAACTCTGTAAGTAACTGCAAACTCATGGCATTTGTATGATGCTCAGCAGCAGCAGAGGAGGAGGTGTGCATATCAACAGTATTTAATTTTTAAATAAAAATGACCTCTGTAGGACAGTTATATGGTTTTAGCCAAACCCAGACATTTCAATAAGTTACTGACAGTACAAGGTTGTATTTTATCTTTTGATCAAACCATTCCAGTTCTGCAGCTCACAGCAGTAGGATATAAATATTAAGAAAAAAACCCAACAGACCTGTGTTAGACTAAACAAAGTCTTCCTGTACAGCGTAAAAACACACCTTAAGGAAAAAAAAAAGTGTTTTTCTTTTGGCATACTTCTTTTTAAAACAATTTATTAACAATATCCACCAGTGCACCTGCCACCCTCAGAACCAGAAGGCAGCATTTCACAAAACAAGTCTGTACAGTTATGTACATTTTTTCACACTTTAGATGGTTCCATTTTCAACGCTGGATCCATTGACTGGAGGCTCAACAATCAGTCTTGGCTCTATCAGGGCGTCCCAGCTTTCAGTTATCTGAAAACACAGCACAGACAACACTTAGCAGGTACCAGCCTCACCAACAGATGCAGTTTCTCTGTCATTACTCTTTGTCTAGGCCTGAACAAAGGCTCATTCCTGTGATTCATTGATCCTCTTGACAAACCTCAACCTGCCTGACATCCTGGGTAAGGGAAGATGCAGGTAAGAACAACAGTGCATGAAATCAATAAGCTTGAAAGAATGGATACTCTGTGAGACATGATGTTGTTTATTTTATTAGCCAAAATGAAAAGTTACAGTTTGATGCTGGCTTTGACCCCAGTTAATTGAGCAATATGCAAGAAGTGATTCTTACCTTGTGATCATGCACATTCTTGCTAGGAAGGAACATTTATTTTTGCTTCCATTTATTTTAATCAGATTACTCCCATTATTGTAAAGGGAATCTCCCTGAGGTGCACAGAGCCATAAAGCAGGGCAGGTATCAGCTATGCAAAACTGGTAACAGGATTCAAAGCAGGACCCATGTACCTTGGTGTCCTGAGGGACAGCATACTCAATCAGCTCTGCTCCATCTGCAGACTGGTAAACCAGATCGAATTTCCCCGGCTCCTTAGCAACTTAAAAACAAACAAACAACTCAATTAACTGTAAACAACAACAAAAAAAGTTTAAATGTTTACCTCAAACCCCAGTTTTGTTCTGTTTGGTTTACAGTTGTGTGTCTGGGCTTGTAATTCCAACAAAAAAAAATCTGAGGTAGAGCTGAATACTGCACACCAAAATTAAGGTGACTCATATGACTACATGTACAAAAAAGGTAACAATATGTTGCTTAATATGACAATTCATTAATTCTGGCTTCAATGGCAACTGCAGGACACCCCCTCAGTTCCAGAAACATTCCTTGTTTCAGGTCTCAGGAACTGCAGCTTGTCACTGCAGGGACTCACTTCCACATCCACTGAAGGCAGTGGCTTCACTGATGTTGCAAAGAATGGCATTATGGTCTCACATCTTCTCTGTAATTCCACATATTGATTTCAGCTTTCTTCAGAAAATGAAGCCACGCTAGAGGTGAGTTACTGAGCACTCATACTGACTGAAGAAATTCACTTTTCTAAATGCCCACGAGCATCTTCAGTTCAACTAGCAAGGGTTAGAACTCCTCCATTTAAAGAGACTTTTGGGGGAGGGAATGAGGAGGGAAGGGGTGTGTTGAGAATGAACCCAAGGAAATTGGGAATACTCCTGAAACATGAGCTGTTTGCCAAGTGATGCACATGACAACAAGGTACGTACTTTGTCCTGCTGGTGCTGAAAGGATCTCGAGCTCGATCTGTTTTTTATCAGCATTCCAACTGATTATTTTTGCCTCCTTCATAAAGCAACAAGAAAAGAATCAGGTAAGATACACTTCAGCACTGGATAACTATCCCATATCTACAACCACTGTGCTACTTGATCAATTCTAGAGGAAATTTGGCTATCAGTTTTTCCTATCTCTGTGTAGAAAATCTGCAGAGAATTAAAGCTCAGCAATCTGTAGTTACTGGCAACCAAAGTTTACTTACTGTCACTGACTTTTTAGTTTAACTCAGTACTTCTCCAGAAACCAAGTTCTCTCAAGTAGCTATAAAAAATTTTACTTGCACCCGTTTCAAGAACTTGCCCTGACTTCAAACCACAGCAGACTCAAATATATCTACATTTTTCTAGTTGAAGGTCTGTGTTTTTTGTCATCTCCAAAATCATTAATAATACTTGCAGTTGGGTTTGGCTTTTTTTTTTTAATAACTTTTTTTATTTTTATTCACCTTTCAAATTTTCAATTAGTTTTCATTTTTACTGCTGCACCAGGAATGGCCTCTGGAGCCAACTGGATGCAAAGAAAAACAGTGCACAACCTCAAAATATTTAAAGTCATACCTCACCTATAATAGTTCTGTGAGTGAATTAAGGGAGGAAAGAAAATCAGTACCTTATAGTCTGAAACTTCAGGACTGTAATTTTCAGTTAGTTCCAAGCGCTGTTGAAAGAAATACAAATAACAAATTGTAAGTTTTTGCAGTGAAGTGTAATTATTTGTATGGTAAGATTGGCAATAATATTGTAGGAAAGGTACCTAGAGAAATAACAATATGTGCATGGAAATTCACACTGAAATGACAGCAGACACAACATTTCTTTGTGTTACACAAATACAGAAAGTCTAAAGAAATGCATTTAACTCATGCACAGGCTCCAAACCTTTGTAAAAATCTAAGTCAGACTTTACAATGAGAGAATTTTTTAGAGAAATTATTAGGTCAGAAGCTTAGAGTGGCCCAAATGAAGCAATTTTAGCCCACTAACATTCGGTATTTCCAGAGTTCTTTACCTTAAAGGCAATCTTTTCTCCCACTTGGGGTGGAGCAGCTAGAAGAGGTAACACACTATAGTCTCTCTTGGGAACTTCCACGGGATTCTGTGGAAAAAAACAGTATCCCATTGACTTAATTACTGTATTAATAAAACCAGAAGATAATGTTTATGCTGTATGGGTTGTGAGAAGCTCTGAGAAGGGTAAGCTACCCATGTGAGTGCTTTGTTTTGAGATGTGTAGGACAATCACTTCAATACAAACACTTCCTCAGGCTGACAAATGGAGATATGATAAATAACAGATTTACTAAGTTAAGATCAGCCTTTATCCCATTAAGCTATTTCTGCTTTCATGAATTACTCTCATCCTATAGACTTTTTGCATAGTTAAAGCTGCAGGAGAAAGGTGACCCCTGACTGTGCAAGTCACTCACCTGGACAACAACAGAAGTGTTTGTCGCAGATTCATTTAACTGCCTCTGTTTCTGGCCTTCACTGCTGTAGTTATAGAAGAAGCCAGGGTTTGCTCCTCTCCCATGGCCTTGGCCCCTCATCATCCCACGAAACCCACGGCCCCTGGGTCCTCTCCAGAAACAATCCTCTCCCGATCCACGCCCCCTTCCACGGCCTGGGCTGGCAAATGGTCCCTGAGTATTGGTTGGCAACTGTTTAATACAGTTTCTTCCTATGGAATTACTCAGCCCAGCATCTGCTGCGGGTTTTTTAGTAACAGGTGTGTCTGAATCTGAACTGTCAGACTCTGAGGAGGAGCTCTTTGCTTTGGGAGCCTTGGTACTGGCTTTTACAGCCACCGTGTTGGTGGGCAGAGACTTTTCCTTGGCAGTGCTGCCTTGTGCTGGTGTCGCCTTCTCATCCTCTGTACTCGAGTCAGAATCTGAACTAGAGGACTGGGGTTTTTTAGCATTTTTACTAACTGCAGTCTTAGTCTTTTCAGTCTTAGACTTTACAGTCACTTTATTCGTTTTTGCATCAGAATTTGCAGCAGCAGCTTGGGATTTGTCTTTGGGAAGTGTCACCGCTACGGGTTTATGGGAAGATTTGTTTTGCTTTATGTTTAATTCACTGCTGTCACTGTCAGACGATGTGCTGGAGGAATCTGAAGTTTCCACCCTCTTTTTTCTGGACTGTGTTGTGATCTTTTTGGTGCTATTTTTACCAGAATTTAGAGAAAAGTTCTCATTTTCCCGTTCTAAAGCCATCTTTGCTGCAGCAGCCTTTGTCTGCTTTTCATCCTTCTTTTTTGTTGCCAACTGTTTCTCCTTCTCTGTTTTTTTAAGCTTTTTAGAATGGGCAGTAGAGCTCTCTTCCTTACCTTCTGCAAGTCTATTTCTTCCACTAACTTCTTCCTTCCTTTTTCTTTTCATGTACCTTTTTTGAGAGTCCCAAATATCTACAGAGCTCTCTTCCCTGCAGGAGGAATACTCAAGATTATGCTTGTCCTTTTTCTTTTTCCTTTTATGCCTGTCTTCATTCCTAGAGAATTCTTCCTCGTCCTGCTTGTGTCTGTGCCTTTTTTTGTCTTCTTCTGTTGTGTAAGTAAAGCCATCATCTGTCTCTTCATAATCATCTGCAACTATGTCATCCAACTTTACTCTGTCAAAAAAGATCCAAACAAAAGTCACTGTTGAGCAAAACAAACACTTTTTCCTACATGTCAGCACCTCAGGTAAATTATTCTGGAGCAGGGATGCTCCACCTGTGCATGGGACAGTCAGGAGCCTCTCCCATGAGCACAGGCTGTGACAGGCAGGTGCTGGGGCAGGGCACAGGCAACGCTCCCCTTCCATCCTCAGGGACATTCCCAACCCCTTGGCTCCCTCCAGCCCTTTCCAAGGAGGTCCTATCCCCGTCTTGCCATGTTCCAACCCCACGAGGGGACTCAGAATCCCAGAATGGGTTAGGCTGGAAGGGACCACAGTGAGGCATCTGGGCTGGGCAGAGCCTGGTCCATCCTCTGACACCCCCTTTGGATACGGATGGGTATGGATGGGGTTTATATGTGGGATTGACTCCCTGCTCCCGTTCCCACTGTCCCGATCCCAGTCCAATCCCCCTGTCCCTGTCCTGGTCCCCCTGTCCCTGTCCTAGTCCCCCTGTCCATATCCCCTTTGCATTCCCACTGTACTAGTCCCTGTCCCTATCCCTGTCCTGATCTCATCCTGCTATCCCTATCCCATTCCCCCTATCCCATTCCCACTGTCCCTATCCCATTCCCGCTATCCCATTCCCCCTATCCCATTCCCCTATCCCATTCCTATCCCATTCCCTCTATCCCATTCCCTATCCCATTCCTATCCCATTCCCACTGTCCCTATCCCATTCCCTCTATCCCATTCCCCTATCCCATTCCCATCCCATTCCTATCCCATTCCCTCTATCCCATTCCCCTATCCCATTCCCTATCCCATTCCCGCTGTCTCTATCCCATTCCCATCCCATTCCCATCCTATTCCTATCCCATTCCCCCTATCCAATTCCCTATCCCATTCCCATCCCATTCCCGCTATCCCATTCCCGCTGTCTCTATCCCATTCCCATCCCATTCCCCTATCCCATTCCCCTATCCCATTCCCGCTATCCCATTCCCTATCCCATTCCCTATCCCATTCCCATCCCATTCCCCTATCCCATTCCCCTATCCCATTCCCGCTATCCCATTCCCTATCCCATTCCCTATCCCATTCCCTATCCCATTCCCATCCC